GGAAAAAAGGAAAAATTTAATTTAAAGTAAGGTTTTACTTTCTTTAACCAGGAGTTACACCATTTTCTCATGTTTCTCTCACTACTCAAGCAAGAGCAGGTTTACGGCTTGACCTGAGCATCCTCAGTGAGCTGAACACAGGGTATGCAGACATCCAATGTTTTCACTTGCACAGGACATCAGGGGACTCATGCTGCTCTTCACAAGCAATCTTCAGGCTTGTGGGACTGTTCACCCATGCAGGGCTTTATTGTTAGCAGTTGTAACCTGGGTTAGCAAAGAATTTACACCTCTGCATAGCTCCTGTAGGCATGGTTTGGCAGTTTTAATAAAAACCTGATAAGAACGTTCCCTTGGGTCTGTTAAGCAGCCTTCACAGGAGAAATTCTTTGTTTCAACTTGCATACTTCATTGTTACTTTTATGAGTATCTGATCCTTGCTCCATCTGGCAGTGGATTTAAAATATATGGGATCTAAGGAGTTCTCAGATTATCAACCTAACAAACAATAAGTAGTGTGATAGTTATTTTTTTTTCTCCACATAAAAAAACTTGCTCCATGAAGGAGCATAGAGTACATCCCATGTTACAGGACACTCTTCCTGCCTTCTCTATACCAATAATGCCTTTTCCATGTCTTCTTCTGTTCTCCACCCAAGATATTTGAAGACTCAACCTCAGAATTTGGAAGCTGCTGCAGACCTTCCTGTGGCAGAACCCTTTCATGTAAGGGGTGGGAACATCCCTGAGACCAAGCAAGCAAGGAGAAGAAGAAGAAAGTTCTGCATAGTTGATCCCCAGGACAGGAAACGTAACTCTCTGGAAATCTGGGAGCCCACTACTGACCTTGATAGAGCTGCTGCCAACACTGCTCTGTATGCCAGTGAAAAACATTGACATACCCAGTCAGTGGACTATCTGGACCATTTCACCACCATGGCCCACAAAACACTTGCAAGTTTCTCCACAATCCTCTTAGTCTTTGGTGATCTCTTGATAGAAGAAGCCTAGCAGGCTATTGTCTGATGCACTTTTACATAGGAAAGGCCTGTATTAATGAAAATGCTTTAGATCAATGCCAGCAAGGTTATCCTTTGAGGCTTTTTCCATTACATTGAAGAAATTAAACACTCTGGTTTCACGCCAGAGTGACAAAAAGAGCTTTTATGCAAAATTCAAGCCATTGAATTCAGGCCATCCTCATAGTCTTTTCTCAGAACCTGGCAGCAATTGAGACAGGAAAACCTTTTTGGAGATTAATGTGTAGCTGTCCTTATGATTAAGATTACCACGAATATTCACATCTGCTTCTGCAGTGCTTCTGTGTACAGACCTTTACTAGGGATGAGGGGGAAAAAAAAGACAAAGACAAGCATTTACCTTGGCATAAACAGTCACAAAGCAACCGAAATTCCCTAAGAAAGAGTAGACATCTGACCTGTTACAGTGTGCTAAAGCCCCACAATCTATGTTGTTTCTACCTCTGCAACACAAGCCGGGCACAGTGAAGGCTTTGGGTGGGAAGGATTTGAGGCTGGAATCCTTTTCAAACAGAATATTCATTAGAAGGTATCCAAGCCGTCACACTATTTCCCCATTTATCATGAAATGCATACAGAAAACTGCCTCATCTGCAACTCTCCCTGGCTTTCAAAATCCCTTCACAGCCAGTTGTACACGTTACTTAGCACAGCACAGCCTCTTTGCTTTCCTCTGAATGAACACCATGAACATCGTTTAACTGGTGTTTATCGCACATTACTACAGAATTTGCACCTATTTGATTAAGAAGCACTGAAAAAAAAAAATCTTACTTACTTTTTTAACCTAAATAGGTGGCATATGAATTATTGCAGCCCACAGGGCACTCTAAGTAAAATGATTAATGTTTCTTACATGGCAAACATTAACAGATTCTTTTAAAAATCATTTCAGTAAACAATCTTCGGGGAGTTTTGCTGAGAGCCTAATCTGTATTTAATTTAGTCTCTTGAAAATTGAAAATTACATGGACAAGCTTTGTGAGATATCTCTTAAAAATGCATCTAAGTGTGTTGTTTACCTTAATAGTCAAACAGCAGCCAAGTGAAGGGTTTGGTCTATTCCAGCTGCATTCTGTGAATGATTGGATGCATAAATCCAAGGTTCTGGATCCAGCCCACTGTAAGCTTCAGCCCTTAATGAGTCAAAAAGCCCTTCTTTACCATTTTTACAGATTTGCTGAAAAAAGCTTTGTTGCAAGTTTCCCATAAAAACCTCCCAAAGTTGCTAGATATGACAGATTTATTAGCATACAACAAGATTAAGGAGATTAATGGTGGACAAAATCTAGGTATTACAGCAAAGAAACACCCCTTTTGTTAAATGATGGAAGAAAGTTCAAAAAAGAGAAAACAAACAGAAAGTCGAGCCCAGTGCAGTGAAGATTTGTGGTACAGAAACTACTCCTTTAATTTAAACACTGAAATGAATGACTAAATTTGATTTTGAGCTTTCAGAGGCAAGATGCCTTGGGAAGCATGGCAAAAAAGAAAACACAGTATATGGGATGAGTTAAAAATAAAACCAAAAGGCCTTGCGAATAAGCCCACTTCATAATAATGTAAAAAAGGTGGAGAACTTCAGAATATATTTTTCTAATTAAAAAAGATATATCATTAATAGATGCCTGACAATGACTGAAAACGCATCCTGCTAAAATGGCGGAGTTTCACTGGGGCTGCATTTTAATTTTGCTAAGTATTAAGAAATGCCTAAAAAATGGGCAGAGTTCAGGGGTGCATAATACATCTTGTTATAAAGAGCACCTGCCAAGACCATAATGGCCTATAGTTTAAACATTTTCTACAATTAAAATACCTAAATCTAGAGGCCACCTGTTTCCTGCCTTTGCCTTCCTTGAGTGCCAGAAGTTTTACTGTAAACACAGGTGAGCAAAATAAGATGCTGCTTGATGTTAGGAGAGTCGAAGAATTTGCACAATAGCTGAAGTCTTGGCCAACTGCTTTTCAACTCCCAGCTCCTCGGTTAAAACTGATGAGAGAAGCAGTATCCTCTCCCCCTCTCCCAGTGGCAAGATGCAGGCACGGGAATTCCCACACCGGGTTGGGACAGCATCTATCCATCCAGCAACTTGGATTTGACAGTAACCAATACCAGATGTTTCAGCAAAGGAATAATAAAATGTGCAGAGAGCAACTGGAGAAATCTACTCAGTTTTTTCCCAATTTCCCCCTGGTCCCTGGGCAATGCATGCATCCTGGGACACAGTGTCCCAAGAAACTGGTCTGGCTATTCAGAAATTTGCCAAAAAGCTGTCCAGATGACAACCTCGGATTCACTGCTGACTGGTAAAACAGGGAAACTGTGGACCATCCTTACTACAGGACCCCTAAGAGAGGCTGGATTTTTTTTATTTTAGTCTAACTGTGAAAAGTAAAGAAGGTAAAAACATTTGCAGAAATTCTAAAAAGGTTTATCCTCTTATAAGGAGACGTATTAAAGAGTTGCTGTCAGGTGCACAGGAGTCTTGAAGGCTGGAAAGAGAAATTGGGAGATACATCTGCAGACCCGTCTTTCCCAAATGACACTGGCATACTGATTAACAGCAGCTGGGAATAAGGTCCTGCTCACAGAGAAGGTCAGTTGCTCAGTTGTTGGCCCAAGACACAGCTGAACAGGTAGTCCGGTAGCCCAGTAAGATGTCACTCAGAAAGCTCTGCTTTTGAATATTCCCAACAGCACACCAGTCCCTGGAAGAGAATCCACCACACCATGAAACCCTAACTGACAAAAAACTACCATCTAAAACTCTGCTCCCTGCAAAAGACTTTGCACAAGGCGAGCCGCCCACTGGATCAAGGACGGTGCATCTGCAGCAGGGCAGAATGCAACCAGGCAAGGAGACCTCGTTCTTTTTCTCCCAGTTTTCAAACTTCTTTGGAGGACCTGACAATGAATCAAATACACCGTTTTGCAGAAACACACAAATTTTTATGCAATTTGACTTAAGTGTACAAATATTTCTGATAGACAAAAAGGCACAAAACAGGTCCTGGTTTCTTACTGCCTAACACATAGCTTCCTGCTTTCAGGTTCACAGGATCATCTATCTGGCTTCTACACAGAAAAGCAGTGGAGTTTCAGAAGGGTTCAGTTAACTAAAAGCCTGCTATTTTTCCCCTTTCTTTTGATCAGTGATAGGATTTCATCTGGTAAATTCTAACGTGAAGGGCACTTACTGAAATGAGGTACAGTTATAACACAATAACAAACTGATTTACAGCATTTCTGCACAGAAACTAGCAGTAGTACCAAAAGGATTATATGCTTTGGGACATAAACAAACACTTAAAATTACACAATTGTGTTGAGACCATAAAAAATATCCCCTTTTGAGCAGTTCCTGAGCCAGCAGATAAGGAAAACAACCCAATAGTTAAGGGTACACAGCACATTTCAGCAAAGACTATGCCCACCAATCATTCACAGAATCATATCCTTTAGGTTGGAAGAGACCTTTAAGATCATGAAGTCCAACCATTAAGCCAACACTACTAAGTACTCTACTAACATTCTAATCATTCTAACATTGCTGTCTTCTCATGTTAGATCACAACTGTTAGAAGGTTATTGATCCATACTCTTGAAATCTCAAATAGCACGTCCATGTCTCTTAGCTTGCCCGTTTAAAAACAGGACTCAAATCAACACTAGCTCTCACAGATCTTGGCAGCATCTTTACAATTCCAAAATGTTACATCTCCCCCGTTACCTATTGCTTCTTGCAAAGCATTTTGAAATCATGTCATAAGGTAAGGATTTTTAAACAAAGGCTTCAGAATAGGCTTAATCGTTACATTTATCACAGGGAAAATCTTGCACTTAGTATTAAATCTTATCCTTATAGCCATTTGGTCATACAGAGAGCAACTATGGGCGTTTAACAAAGCAAACACAACTGCATTCCAAAAGCGCTACTGAGATTAGAAAGCAAGTCATCAGAGGTAAACAATCTTCTCCTCTACTTTGCCTCCACCTTCTGTGTCCTGCAGGCTTTCAGGTTGGTGGCTCAGCGGCAGCGCATCTACGTGTGGCAGCTGGAGGGATCCCTGGTTTGGAATGCTTGTTTGGGGACTCTGGATCTGTGATACATTCAGATCTGTAACGCACAAAAGGAAGACATGTGACAACGTATCTTACACCACCCCCACGCCATCATAAGGAGCAAATTCTGACTTTCATTAGCACCATTTTCTAGTTTGCTGCATCTGTCTAGAAAGGGAAAGACTGTTGTATTACAAACTATACTCCAGCCTGGTGAGCAGTACCTTACCCAAATTTATGGAAATTTGTTCAAGTCTGTCCACTGTCATCCAAGGGATGATCGCTGTCACTATTTTTACAGTCAAACAAGTTTACAAACTTCATTAACCAGACAAACAACAGTGGAAAAGTATAAATGCTGCCACAGTTGGGCTGGACAGAAACATATCACACATAGTTAGTACCTTTACTAGTAATAAAACAATCGTAAAATTAATACAGTTTCCATCATTACACAGAATTTTATTTGCAAGCTTTCCTTTTATGGATGAAAAACAATCAACTGAAAAAAACAATCAACTGAGTAAATCCAGTTAAAAGTCTACTTGACTGGCACTTGCATTTTGTTACAGATGTATAAATATTTTGCTTTTCCTGCCAAGTTTATGCATGTTTATTTGCACAAACTACTTACGCGACTCTTGTCTCCATCCTGTATGATGTGGAAATAAAACTTGCACCCAACATTAAGAAATTGTTTTACAAGGAATTTCCGTTTCTTCTTCTTTACAATTTTCTCCTGCAAATGCAGAGAACCAGGTACTTGTTTTCCAGCCCTGAGCTCTGGATGCTTTTGTGACAATGTGTGCATTGCTTTAGAATAGCTGGATTTTTTCCCCAGTCAGCTTTCTGTACCACTTCAGGCCCCCCAGAACTACACCTCGGTAGCTGGCTTTTCTACATCTGTATTTCTGCAAAGCAATTTTTACCATGAAAACAAGCTGTGTAACAAGGGTATCTTCATACCTCGGAAAAAAGTCTATGACGGACAGACTGCAATACTTTTGACTGCAACCTTGGCCCAACCGACCTCTGCTATTACATCAGGAGGTTTAACTTTTCATCCTTCCCTCTGCAAAGGGACTCTGCAGGAAGAAGGGGAGCTTGGCACCCCTCCCACAGCATGAGCAACACCAGAAGCAAGCAAAGCCAGCACTGAGGTTCTTTGAGCCTCAGTCATTCATGCAGGAAGCTAAAAAGACATTTCATGCCTGCTGTGGTCCCTAGCTATTCTCACATGTATGTGCAATGAAAATCTAAAATAAAGGTGATACTTGGCTTTTTACACACCATGTCACTTCAACTGGTGGCAAGTCGAAATGACATCTGCTCATGTTCAGCATTCCCCCAATGCAAGTGGCTTCCACCAGCCTCCTTTGCTGCGGCAGGAGTTTAAGGCACACTTAAGAAGCTTGCTGGCACCCTGCAAAGCCCGGGCTCCCTGGCTGCTCCCTGCCACAGGGCGTGTGGAGCACTGGGCGATGATTAGGCGATGGGCATGTGGGAACACATCATATCACTGCCTCTGCTTCCAGCACCTTCTCCTCTTTGATGCACACACAGCTGGGGGGAACAAACAGGCTCTGGGGCTCTGGGTCCCAGCGTAAGCCACATGAATGTTATACCTGCTGCTGAGACTGCAGGGGCAATGGCAGGGGCAAGGTGTTTCTAGGCAAGCAGTGGTTGCTTATAAATGACAAGATGTTATGCAAATTAATCTCAAATTCCCTTTCTTTTACTGCTTTAGATTGGATTTAAAGGATCAGGTTTCATTCTGGGTGAAAATCCAGAGTAAGCCTTGATTGCACATGAGTTATTTGCAATATGTAACACAACAGGTTTTAACTCCCTAACTTAGTCAACAGCTCTGCTTTGTTAAAGGTGACTTTTGCATCTCTTTCTTTGGGATAGTCATATTAGAAAAAGACTACAATTTGCATCAACAGAAAAAAAGTCAAATATCCTACATCTGCTTTTCTTTATGTAAACTGAATACTCAGGTTTGTTTGTTTGTTTATTAAAAAGAGTCCTACCAGTGAAAGGTCCTTAACCTCTAAACGCTTATATTTTGTGATAATTTTACCCACATTAATATTCCTTTTAAGTCTGTGAGTCTATTCACCTTAAGAGAGTTATGTGTGTAAGAATACCAGGCAGTAAGCACTTGAAAGATCTGTTTCCAAAGTTTATGAAGTACATAATTGGAGAAGCCTAATTACAAATTTGAAAAAACCCAGAAAAGAGAGAGAAACACCTTACATGCAGTTATTTTCCACCTTCAAAACTAAACAGTAATTGCTTCACCAATTGAAACAGTAGCTGTTTCTAAGCCATTTCTTATTAATTGTTACAACTCTAAGCAGCACAGGTAAGAAGTGGAAACTGTCAGTATTCTAGAAAAACACATCAGATTCTGTCACTATCAAAAGAAATGATTTAACATTAGTTTTGCTGCTTTTTTATTCTGTATTAAAGAAAAAAAAAAAAATGTCTGTTGCATCCAGAGAAACTGAACAGCAGGGGAGCACCCAAGAGGTGAGAGTCCAGCTGCTGCTGTGGTCACAAGTGGCTTCTTGGGCTGGAAAGTTTGTCCTTAATCCCCCTGAGTAGGGAAGGAGCTGGTTTTGGCTGTACTTCAGGTGGTGCTCACCAACACAGGCTCTGCCTAATAAAAGCACAATGTGTCCCCAGGCTGACATACACAGCTTGCCACCAGGGAGGGTGCCTGCTGTCTCCCTGCCCGGTGCCATGCTGGAAGCAGTCAAGCCAGGAGACCAGCTGGTATCATACGCAGCAGCATGATGCACCCTGGGAACAGCTGCTCAGGGAGGGTGGAAGAACTACCAGAATTGGTAATAACAGCCTCAGGTGAAGTGAGAGTGGGGAAAAGGGACTAATCTGCCAGCCAGCACCAGTTCTTGTTATGCAGAGCAAAAACAGCTGCCAAGAAGCCTCCCTGGAACTCCCTGGTGCAGCACAGGGAAATCAGCGGCCCTCAGCCCCACGCATGAGTACAGTGGAAGAAATCCTCCTTTTAAATGCTCCTCTAAAACAGGGAAGAAACCTCCCGAACCAGCCTTGAAAGCATCAGCTGTTGCCTACTGATGAACTCTTGAGAGCTGAGGAAGCTCAAGAAAAGAACAAACAAACAAACAAAAAAAACAAAAAAAAAAAAAAAAGAGGAAAACAACCAATTATCCATGTAGACAGGGAAGCAGAGAAAGGCCAGTGAAGGAGGCTGCTACTGGAAAGTGATGTCTGGGAAGGTCCCCTGTACTGCCCAGGCAGCTGGGGCACCCATGGGAACCCCTAGCCCTCCTGCAGGCCTGGTCTCTTGTGCACTACAGCCGACAGCCAAAAAGTCAGTATGGATCAAGAGCCAGGTAAATGAGAATCATGGGCCTTTTACAAGCCTCCTTCAACTGTAACTCACCTGCCAACATCAGCCACAAACTGAGTTTTGTATTATTCCTTTCTTTAAGTTCACCATTTCCTTCTTGTTCTCCCCACAGCGCTCCCGCCGCCCGCACCCGCTCTGCCACAGCACTGCAGCGTTCTGGGAAAGTGTTCAGCCCAGCAGTGCCACACTGCAGCACAAAATACCACTCACACCCAGCTCTGCCTCCTTATCTCCACTGAGATCATTTCTGTAACTAAAGGAAATCCAGGCATTCCCTGTTATCTCGTCTGCTCCACCGACTTTAACAAGAGAAGTCAGAGGCTGTTTCTAACAAATTCTGGGGGGAAGAAAAATCATGCGCACAGACACGTACCACCAAACTCAACATTAAAACAAATGCAATTTTTAACCCCTTTTCTATGTGTTTAGCTTGCTGCCATGAAGACAGGCATCAAAACTGCAGATGGGCACTCTACTCCCCCAAAATAAAAATATTTTTTTCTGGGCAATCTAAATATAACAATAGCTGCAGACTGTGGGCATGCAGGACATGGAACCAGCTTTCACAGGAGTTTTTAAGGGGACCTCGGGTCTCCCAGCAGGGCCTGGGTCCAAACTCAGGAAAACAACACCTCCTAGCTAAAAAGAAGCTAATGTTTTATGGGAAAGGAAAAAAAGGGTCACTGCATCCTAACTATCATACACTACCCCTCCTGCAGCACTGAGTCACTGGCATCCCATAAACTGCTGGGAAAGTGAAATACAAAGCAATGGCATTTGCAGGAATCTGAGCTCAATACCTAAGAAAACAAACACAGCCCTTGCTCCTGGCCAGGCTGGGGGGGATACAAAAGCCAAGTAAACAACTCATTAGTCAGACTGATTCTCACCTTCTGTAAGTTATCATAGGATGTAAACATTTCCACATCAAACAACTGCCACAGATTTTATCCCCCACCCCTTCTCTCCCCAGACGACCTGAGCCCTTCAGGTAAGATGAGTGCCCACAGTGACGATTACGGGAAGGACAGGAAGACATCATCTATGCACTAGGAAACAGTCCAGGAAAAAAAAAAAAAAAAAAACCAACCAAAACCACCTCTCAAGTCTGTGTTGTTAACAGAAAGTCCTTGGTTTCTCTTCTTCAACTCTGACCCTCATTTCACAGCATCACAGGTTAATTCAAATTAGAAGGAATCTTAGGAGGTCTCTAGTTCAAACTTCTCCTCAAAACTGAGTTAGATCTGATGTTGGACACTAGAGTTTTTATCTTTCTCAGCTGTTAAAAAAAAAAGAAAAAGAAAAAATAAAGGGAGGAACAGTTTAGGAGGAACAACTCACCACAGGGATTTTGCAGAAACTGTATGTACACAGTGTTAATTTCCTGTGACTTTTAGAAATCTGTGCCACTTGTCAGGTCTCTTTACAAAACAAAATTTCATTAAATGGGGAGAGATTTATGCTGCTTTTAGCGACAAATATGTTAAAAAAAATCTCAAAACTATTACTCCTCTGCAAATAACATATAGAGTTAGGTTTGAGGTTTGCCATTTCTATTTAATAACTGCTACCAGTTTTTATACCAAGTTCATCTGGACTGACAGCTGACACATCAACTTCAGGCCAAAGCTATTTGAAATGGCAGAGCTGCTGTA